GAGCAAAAGTATAACGATTTGACCTCGGTTATGTTTAAATATTATTTTGGCAACAAATAAATAACATTATTATTAACCGAAGGTTTTGTCGTTTTACTGTAGATATATTATAATAATATGCTAAATACGTTTTACACATCGTACAAGATGAATTTCACATTATGTAGGTTAAGTAAGAATATAAAATTCGACATTTATGTTTATGTACACATTATATTATGTAGGTATATGTGTAGGTACTAATGAAGCTACATACGTAGAATTTTTTAAGCTGTATAAGGTGAACAACTTTGATGACTTACCTATAGACACTCTTCGTATCAAACGGTTCCGCGCTGTACATATATAGTATTTGAAGATATCCAATATGGGATAAACTTAAACAAATCATAATAAGAATAATAATAATATATTATAATAGCAACGAATCCGTAAATCAGTCACTTGACTTCATAGAACAACATGATGGCGTACTTAAAAGTCAAACTTAATGTTTTATTTTAAAAAGCACACAGCCCTAGAATAAAAAGTGCTCAACTTTTTGTCGTTTGTTTTTTAAACTTCTACACTTAATGTGGATAGACGTAAATCAATTGATTAATAAGTTTTTTCTCACGTAAAATAGTAAACGAGATACAACGCTTTTCTGACACCTCTTCTAGTTTGATGACTTTATTGGATTAGTAAATTAACCTTTTAATCTGATTTACCCCCACGGACGTTTAATTTTCAATTAACTCTCACATGTTCTATTAAACGAAAATTTTCAACGATCTTATTAACAATCAGTTCATGCGAAGGAGTAAAAAAATAATTGTATTAAATTTAAATGTTAACAGCTAATGGACGTCATTAAATTGAACTGTCGTTATATGTGTATATATTTTCATTGTCCGTAGTTTATGTGTGTTTTTTTCGGTTTCTCTGAAGAAAACATATTATTTAATTATTATTTATTAATATTGCGATTTGACTAATTATAGCCTAACCTTCAAATGCATACATTATGATAGTATTGTAGGCAGTAATTAATACATTTACCGGCAATAATAATAATACGTCATTTGATGCATAGTATTATTTTAGGTAATTTTCGAGTTGTTTATCGATTATTTTACATTGATGCGATACAGGAGAGGAATACTATGGTGTATCCCATTCATGTGTGTATGGCCAACATTTGAAGGGAATATTATTGTCCAGCGAACAAAATATGTCAGCCTGGCCAAATGAAACTACCAAACGGACCGTTTTTGATTTTGTTGAATCCGTCCGCGTTTTTTTCAGAGCACTGAAAATAAGTGAATTTGATGTTTGAATTAAACTGTCAATATTTTTGCACGAGAAGAAAATTCGAATATTTAAGTCACAATCTACGAACGGGATGTTTTTTCCGGTATTTTATTTTAAAGGTGGCCCCATTTTAATACTGTTGTCTCGTTTCCACAAAGCCACAATAATACGTAATATGGGCGGAAAATAAAAACCTGAAATTTTCAAATTCTTACAGTTTTATATTGAAACCAAAGCTATAAACAAAGGTTTTCATAAAAAGAGAGTAACAATTATATTGTTCACCCTTTCCAACAACTACACACCTCGTCTAAGAGGCACAAGTGCTGTTATCTCCAAAATATCTTCAGAATATAAAAAATTATTAAACAATTTAAAGAATTTCAATTCTGTTACAGAGGTATATAAGGAAAAATGTTTTTTTTTTAAAAATATAGTCACTCCATTTTAACATTATACTTACCTACTGCTTCTAATGATAATATTATTGTTAGCAGTACTGTCATTTGCCGAAACGAATAATGTGCTCTCTTCTAATGAAGTTAACCTCTGAATAAATTCAACGTCATCTACGGTAACGGTCAGTATGCGTTTAAGTTCCTCGAGTGTCCTCTAGACAAGGTGATTCGCCAAGCATACTCGCCCCTGTGTTTTCTTTAATATGTAATTAACTTTTTCAAGTTCTGATTTTTTAGTTTTAAAGTACACTTAAGAACCATGTTTTTGGATGTTTAGGTTTTAAGACATTTAAGGATTGTCTTAACTTTTTTTGTATGACAACTAATTCATTTATTTACTGTACATTGTTATGTAGATGATTTTTTCAAAAACATTGATGTTTCTAATTCTAAATTCAAACGAGTAAATTCTGAAATTATTAAAATGTATACAGAAGGAATAATAGTCCTTAAAAACTTTTTTATATTTAATACACTTTTTAGTATATTATACTCCTACAATTTTTACAATTTGTATAAATCATATAATGTTAGTGGGTTAATATTAGTTTTTAACAAATAACTATAATTTTCAATTCATCATAGCTCCTAAATCTTACAAACATATTATCACGATTCTCAAAACTATCATTATTAGTACAAATAATTAAATAATTAAAAAGTGGTCTGTTTTTAATTTTGATATCCAGTATAAAAAATATCATAAGTATATCAAAAGTCGACTTGGAAATTTTGAAATTAAAAATGTATGTTAAAAACTAAAAAAATGGTAACGATAAATAATAGCAAAACATATCATGCGCCTTAAAAATTGTGTATTTTAATGAATTCAATATAAATTGTAAGAATTATTTTCTACAAACTAGTCGAGATAACGGGCGGTTGCATTTTAAATAAAATTTAACGTCCAGTATAACGTAATACCTAACTATTAGCGAGATTCGTTGCATACATTACAGTCGCTTTAAGTGGCGTCCTTAACCAGTCGGATAAACCACATTAGTTTGATTTCACACTCGGAGAGGCACGAGTAAGCGAAAATCCGTATGTTACAATAGTGTTATCATCCGACACGGCTGTGAACAATAAGATAACAGCAATAATTCGTATAATCATGTTAACTGCAGTGAATTTATGAAAATGATTTGATCTCCTCGGCGTGACTGTTTTCTGGCTATTTTCATTTTACGAAACAGTTTTAACGAATCGCCCGCTTTGAGAGTGTCACTCGCTGAGAAAATCATTAGACAATCATCGTTCATCTGCCGAAACCCAAAATACGAACGATTACCTCTACGCGATAGGCGTTATTGTACTCTGTACATATTACACTGGAAATGACAAAATATTTAAATACATACCAACCTTTTTTATTCCATTCCTGGAGGTAGTCATAGTAGTTACGCATAATAATAACTATATAGGTTAACCTCAGGATGCCCGAGTACCTATAATAGCTTCTCTATTGGGATTAATAGAAGAACGCCGCTTTCACGCCTCGTAAGTCGTCAAGACGTATTGCCTGGAAAATAAGTTAGGTGTCTCAAGTAATATTAATCCTCAATATTGTTTTTGTAATTTTCAAAACTTGTTCATATCATTTATGTAGGCATCAACCCCGCAAAACAAGACCAATGAAATGCTTGACGATTTGCAGTTGTACACATAAATCTATATGATCTTAAACAATTTAATGCTTTTCAATCCTACTTATGAATTTTGTGAAATCAGTCTCAACCTCTGCTTGGATAAAAATGCGCAATGTAACTCTTTCTTCAAAAAAAATTGAGTTCTTCGCAATTATTGTCATGTCTTATGTCACATACACAAACATAATACTCACAAACCGTAATGTATACCTACACTTTTTCCATAATTATTTTTTAATAAAATATATTTTCAGTTTTCTTCTTAGGCAACTGAACTTAAAGCTGAGGTCGTTTGGAATTCTGATGGAATTATGTGCCACCACGTTGAATTCGGCCTTGGTGGTGCTTATAAGAAAATAAACTAATCTAATTCAATTAGAATCGTTAATCACATAACGATATCACATATTGTATAATTACAATTTATAAGTGGATATTTTTATTTTGTGAATCTTATAATACTGTGATAATAAGTGCACACATCCAAACGTAAATCAACAAAATATTTACACGTTTTGTGTTAGGTGTACTTCTTATTCACTCTTCCTATCGGTTCGTTGCATTATGCTAAGACAATGTAATATATTAACATTCAATTCGCATATACAAATAACAATATTTGAAGATTTAATAATGAAAAACTAAAGGTTTTTGGCAACATTTGCAATTGAATTATTAAATTTGTTATGAATGTTCAACAAATAACAATATAGAGAGGCGAACAACATTTATAGCATAATGTGTACCTACGTACCACGTACGTGTGTATAATATAATTTTGTATGAATGTTATAGCAATAAATTTATGTTAACATTATATAAACACAATACTTAAATTTACAAGTGGCTTTTTAACGGTAATACCGAGTACTGACTGCCGTTAGGGGTATCATTATATTTTCAACTTTAGATTTTGAAGCATATCACATGCATGTAAAATAATATTATAATATGCGGATTGGTAGAGAGTAGGTATATAACACAATATGAGTAGTTACAGAGTTTACTATTAAGTAATAAATCCAGAATGATCAGAATAAATTTGAAATAAATTATGACACGAAACTGGTTTTCATTAGTGCATTGTATGTATTTGTTTACGAAGTGAAATATTTAAAATGCATTAAAAGTTATGTCAAATAAAATTTATTTATTATAATGTAGTATGATAAAAACAATATTATAGGGATTGACGCTAGTCTAAAAAAAATAACAAAAATGCTTATTTTTATTCATGAATTTTAATTCTAAATGAACAGAATCTATTGTTTATAAACGTCTCTAAATTACTGGCTAGCTAGGTTATGAAGTTGTTATTGTTGAAAATATAAATAGAAAAAGGTTTTCAAAGATAAAAATAATTTCTACACTAACGAGCACACGATCATATTATATTTTTTAAAAGTTATTTTTATGTACATTTACATCTGTAGGTAAACAATTTAAATTATGTATAACTTTAAAAGATGAATAAATAAATGTCTATACTTTTAACTATTTTAAAGTTGTAATGTTAATAATAAAAAGCAGAATTTAATACTTAACAAACATTTTTTATCATTAGAGCACTTTAAATAAAGAGAACGCACAAAACAAAATGTATTTCGTCAGTATGATCTATTTAACATTCAATTATTCATAAAAGTATCTTATTCTAAACTAGTCAGCAAAGTTCACTTGAAAATAAAATTTATTTATTTTAAGTCATTCATAAAAACAATAATGTCGACATTTTGAGGGTGCAATGATATTGAAACAACTTATAAACATTTAATAAAAAAAAAAACTGAAATAAACGTTTAAGATTGTTGAGGACTATTATAAATTGACCGAACAGCTGTCCCTTGTAGATATTAAGCTATTTAAGAAATATTATATATAATATATTTTATGCAATCTAACAAAGTTACAATCAGTTTTCTTAATTGTATAAATTTCAATTACAAATTATTTTGAATGTCTTTAGTCTTTCACAATTAAAAATATTTTTAATTAAACTTATTATTATGATTAGTAAACTAAAATTAATTCGAAACATAATAAATGCAATTATAAAAATGTTATACAAAAAACATATTAATTGTCGTAGAACATTTGCTTTCTGATGTTTTTAGACTAGAATGACAAAATAAAATACAAAAATCATAGTACAAATTACGAGCACAAATACCTATCTAAAAATGAAATGTAATATTCATTCAATAACCTAATATTAGTACTTAGTAGACATCTAGACGTTTGTAAAAGAAAAATAAATAAATTAAACAGATAACTTACTATTGGTATAATATAATATACTTGGAAGGCACTTTCCATATTCCTAGAAAATACGAATATAATAATATTAAAATGACGATACTTAAATTTAGTATTTTATATAATATTCTAATTTATAGTAAAACATTTTTCTATGAGGTTTAAAAAATGTGTGCCGTTAAATTTATTATAGTTAATTACTTTGTATAAAAATGAAAAATCACTTCGAAACAATCATTTTTTTTTTTTTTTTGTGAAAATAAAACTTGATTTTTGTGACATTTTTTAAACATGGTTTTATTGCAATATTGTTTGATTCCCTTGCGTAAAAATAAACTATAAAAATAAAGGCACTTAAATGTAACCATCTAAAATCGAAATGATTATTGTTATGAATAAGATTATATAAGTCGTATTAACTCGAAAGCCTATATAGAAAAAAAAACCTACAGTCTGAACGACATATTTTACAAAGAGAATTGTTTGTCGGGTAAATAAAATCGCTGGTATTTTATTTTTTGCGCCATTTTACGTTGTAGATTATCTAAATATATATAATTTTATCAATATCTCCATTGCTCCATTAGGTACTTGAAATGCGCCATAACACATTACGTTGATAGCTTTAGAGATTTAAACGGCAGCAGATCCTTATCAAAGATTCGTGACCTCGTTTTCGTTTATGTACTCTTGAGCTAAATAATTACACTTTTGCAGTAATGCAACGGGCTTGTTGTATACACAGTGAAGTTCAGCGCATAAAGTAACGTCAAGTTTACACTATGGCAGTTTTAATTCGGTGCAAATTTAATATCGTTACGTTGCTTTTAAATAACGGTGTATTTGCTACGAGTTTTAATTAAAACTATATTCCGATTAATATTTGAACTATATCCAAAATATATTTGTACAGTCAGTCAGGAAGTATTTTAGAAATAATAATGAAAACAATAATATGATACTTATAATATTGTCTATACTCTATTTCGTCAACAGGTATGAACAATTTTTGTATAGATCGTGGTCAAATCCACTTAGGTACGGACGACGAACGAATTTGGAAAACTAAAAGGTGATATTTACACTTATAACATAATTACCTAATGAACAATAACATGGTTACCTAAAAACGAACGTCATAACGATGACGGGGTGTCGTCATACGGAGTTTCCCGAGTGCGTCCCGAATCGACCCTTATTTAAGAGAACGCTACACCCGCATGTGTTGTCTAAGTATTACGGTTGATACCGAGTTGCGGTCGGGATCAAAACAGGTAAGATATCAAAATAGGTAAAAATCCTAGTTACGGTAAAAAAATATGATTAATAATTATTATGTTTTAAAATATTTATATATTTACATTTGTAATATTAAACCGGTTCATATTTGTATGATACACATTTCGCATTTTTTAAATTTTTGAATTTAGAATTGAACGCTTCACTTCCATTATTCGTTCTCCAAACATCATTGTTCTAAGCTGCCCAGAGTGTGGTTAGAAAAGTAGCATCATTCCCAATATAATTATCGACTAAATAGTCACTAAATTCAGTAACTCTTGAATCTATAGGTTGTTTGGCGATTAAATCTAAAAACACATTTCCCACTTCATCTGGAGGGAGAGAAGTCAATCCAAAAACGTAGTGTAACCATTAATCGTTAACCGGATACTGACCGCAATTAAGACGTTAATTTTACCTTCAATATTATTAAGACCGCAATTCGTCTATTGCGACCGCAACTCGGACAATACCAGTTTTACAAACATACAACATAGTAAAAACTAGGAATTGAACCACTAAAGGTGTAGTCCAAACTAAGAAACCAAATTTCCACACTATAAAGAGGAGAACATTTACTGTGCAACATCATTTTTATTTTTTGGATATTACAAATGCAGAAAAAGTAAATCGAGTTTGAAATGATGAATTTTTGGGTTTTCTTGTATTTGCGATATCGAAAAAATAAAAAAGGAAGTTGCACAGAAAATATTCTCCGCTAATAGTATGGAAATTTGGTTGGAAATAGCTTGTACTACAGCCTTGAGTGGTTGTATCCCGTGCAAAACGTTGTTCGTTTGTAAGACGAAGAAAAGTGTCGCGTCCTCTTATTAAATATCGGAATATATCCGACGTAATCTGATACTGCTATATAATTTGTCGACAATACGGCGGACGCGCTCTGTCTATGCGAAAAAGGTAAAAATTAAAAACTGGACGCACTCGAGATATCTCCGTCATTTGGTCGGAGGTCTGACCGAATAATTATTCCGAAGAAGGTTTTCTACGATTTTCCCCCGTTGAATCGTTAACTCTCTACACACCTACTACAATAATAAGTTATTACTAATAATCAATTGTTAATTAAACGCGTTGTCCGTATATCATTATAAAACTAAAATATGTATTATCGACCTATCAGCCTATAAAATGTTGAGGCGATTCCCTCATATTCCTGTAGATGAGCGACAGAAGAGTAGACGTAACTAACTACGTAATGACTGCTAGTGACAGCCGTTTGCGCACATTTTGTACATTAATTTATAACCCGTAATTGTATATAAATCGTTTGCACACTTAAAGCGTCATCATGTTTTATACAATCTGTTTTAATTATAAAAAAACCTATGATAGTTCATTTAATAACGTTTAATTTCGAAATTTTTATTGTTTATAAAATATGAATTATTACCCAAAAATGTCTGTATAATTAAAAACAGTATTTGTATTATAATAACATTATTTCGTTGTTATACGTTTAATTATTGTATAGTGTAAAACATGGAATATTATATGTTATACTTTATATGCAGATGAATAAAATAATGTTTTAAATAAAATAATTGATTAATATACGAGATGTTAGAAATGAAGTAAGTATAAAAATAATGTATTATCGACTATCGTCAATCGTCATTAATAGGTAATAATTAAAATTTAAAACTGCGGTTGGAATTTATAATCTTTTTTATATTTTTTTTTTATTTTCTCAAATGTTCTTTTTAACAGTACAATTATTTGGCACAGTTATTAAAATGTATTACAAAACGGTCTATACACTGCAATTACTTACTACAACAGGTAAAATATCCAAGACGGGCGCAGATGGTTGACGGTTAACCTATAAATAGACCCGAACGCAGTAATTATAATATCATAATAATATAGCATAATATTATATAAAACAATGTTCAAGCGAAAGTCACAACAAGACGTTCGCGATTCATAGGTACCTGCAGTAATCTATATATATTATGCAATATATTATTATTATTCTCGAAGACCTAAGCACATGATAACATTATATATTATTATTAAGTTATATTATTTAACAAGTGCCGAGCGTCGTCACTCGGACTCCTCTTCGTCCTCGTCCTTGATGATGCCCAGGTGCCGGGCCACGGTCTTGACGTTGCTGATGACCTCCTCCTGGACGAGGTTAAAGCTCATGGCCAACAGGGCGATGCCGAACAGCAGGTACAGCGAGCAGAACCATATGCGCAGCTTGGTGTCGTCGCCCTTGTTCATCACCCGCTGGGCGGGCACGAAGTCGCCGAACCCGATGGTGGTGAGCGTTATGAAGCAGAAGTACGCGGAGTCCGGGAATTCCCAGTTTTCCCAGCTCTTGAACAGGAACGCGCCCATGATTATGTAGCTGACCACCAGCAGCACGCACAGCCATATGGGCACCGGCTTGATGTGGTCCGGGTTGTTGTCGTCGAACTCGCACGGCTCAGTGTCGTCGTAGTAGTCGCTGTACCGGGTCGACCGCCGGGGGTACTGCCTGTTCACGGCGAAACCCAGCGGCGACATGATTCGCGGGCTGGGCGCCATCACCTCCAAACGTTTGCCTGCGGAAACGACCGGGGTCGGGGGTGAGAAAATATCGAAATCGAAAGTTTGAAACCAATAGTCATCGTCGCGACGCGCAACAATATAATCTATAATATTGTAAAAGTTTCATATTCGTAAATGTAAATAAACCGCGAGTATAATTATTAACGTGATAGGTATTTTTTTGTTATTGCTATTTTTTTTTTTTTTTGGTTCTGTGAAACACTTTTTAGCTAACTACGAAAAATAAAAAATAAAAGGTTGTATGATATTCAAAAGTAAAATCAATGTTACGTAATTCCTGGTCTATCATTATTTTTCTGGATAAGAAAAACTGAAATTAATTTTTTTCAGCATAATTATTTTATACTAAAGGCACTTTTAGGCACTGTATACTGTATAAAGGTAGTTATTTATTTTGTGTGTTCCTAATGTGTGCAGAAAATAGAAAAATAATTTTTATGAAATTCCAAAATTTAAAAACGACAATAGGTACTTACTTTAAATGTAATAAATTTATTTATTCAATATATAATAGTAATAACGAAATTTCTATTTTATTGATAGTAACAATTTATATGGTACACTAAATTCGAATGATTAGGTTGAAACTTTAAGGAAGGGTTTAAAAATAGTTACGCGTATCAAATTTATTTCACAAATTACTTGTAAAGTAGTAAACAATAATAATATGGTGGCTTAGATGTTGAATTTTGAACTTTGATATTTAATCACATAAAAATATTTATAAAATAAATTTTGGTTATCAAACCATGCATTTAAACTTATATAAATTATTATTAAGGCCATTGACTTTTTTAAACATTTATGATAAAATGATTTATCTATTTTATTAATTCGATAAAAACGTATTTAAATTTTTTTTTTTAAATTAGCATAATTTAATGTCTAAGGGACAAACCCCCTACGGGACTGTTGAACATAAATTATTTTATCATTCCCTAACTTTACACATAATGTTCACCAATATGCGGCTATATACCACCCAAATAAATTAACTACGCCCTACACGGGCCTCGCAATCATAAATTTCATAGGTATTTCGGTGGAAGTGGTTGATATTTTTATACACAGGTAAATACCCCGGAGGTAATTATATTCAAGTAAAAAAATCATTTAAAATGACGAGAATTTCAATGGCATTTTACTGTCGAGTGTTGAATTAGTATACTAACTTTAACCGTAAGCGCAGCGTACGTGTTTGTTTTATATGCGATGAAAACATATATTTATATATTACATAAAAATACAATTATTATATTATGTACACTGAAGTATACTTGTTGATATTTTTTTTCGTCGTGTGAATTCATTTTTAAAAGAACCTTGTTCAGTTTTAATTTTATTTCATCTCTTTTTAGTAATATTTTCACTTTAAAATTATGTATATGATAATTCCCGTACGGTATACACGAACATTTGCTTTTATTAAAATAAAAACTATTGAAATAAATGTCACGAAGTTATTCGAACTTTATTCATAATATTGTAATACTATCATAAAATATATATTATACTTTCAACCTTTTTTGCTCTTAAAGATAATCATCAAATGTTTTTAAGTTTAAAGTACGTTCGTATATTTCATAACTTGTCTTTTGATGAATTGAATAAACTCCGAACGGTAAAAACATGACGTCTTTCCAATGCATTAGCATACTAATTAGATGTGAAATATATAGCTTAAATAAATAAAGTTTAGACTATAGATAAAGATAAAACAAAACGTAAGCAAAATTTAAGCAAAATCAAACTATATATACATATATATAAATATATTATATATAATATAGGTAGGTACTTAAAATTTATCATAAACACATATTTTAAAAGCAGTAAGCACACCACGTAATGTGCATATTGAAATGTTCAACATTATTCATACGTTTGCATTGTATAGCAAACTGTAAGTTCATGTTTACGAATCCTATAATATAAACAATTACCATACGGTTTAATCTACGTAGGTAGGTCGTCCCTATAATGTGTATTTTATGATTACCATTTACCGATGATTATAAAAATGCGTTATTCTCAAAAGCGAAAAATTATTCAGAACCGTTTAACTTCTACGATATAATATTTTAACATTACATCCGTTCACGGTTATGTTTGCAATAACGCTATACAACATAATAATGTAATATATTGTGACGTGTTGGATAATGAAATAGTGTGTGCCGTGAAACACTGTTTTCGTTTTTATTTATTTTTCCACAAATAACATCAGCGATAATGATGGTAAAAACCAAAAACCTAATCCTAGATTTCACTGGCAAGTCGCGTAAAAACATCGGACTCACGCTATTTACCCCGTTCTATTATTTTCACCCCCATTCCACCACGCCGTACGGGGATTTTATTTTCTTTGCCCTTCCCGCCGACTAATGATGCCCTGGGAAACTCGGCGTCCTAGGTTTAGTGGTCGTCGGTGAGGGGGTATGTAGGGGGAATAGTGGAAAGCGGTCCTTGAGATTTTATCGTGTACATTCTACCTCTCGTTGTTCTGAGAGGAACTTATACTATGTTTTGCCCGGCGACCACCGACGATACGTCACAATATTATTCGTTCCGATACGTAGTTGTATCAGTAAAACGTCCGATACCTTGGAATAGCATTAATTCATCATGATACCTCGTTTTATGAGTGCCTTGCACATTTGGAAATCGAAACATTGCTCGTGTACACCACAAAGGCTGATTATATTCGTCTGTGAAATGTGAGATGTTTGGTTATATACTTATATCAATGCATTGAGTCAATACCTAAAAAGCAACCGACTAGAACGAAATATTTTATTATTTTGGGACGAAGAATATCTTACGCGGTCCAATCGAAAACCATTCGTATTATATTATATTATATTATTATTATATAGTTGCAACAAGAGGTCCATTCGGAGAACAATAAGTAGAAACACTATGAAGGTATGTCAATGGTCAATGACATTGATCCGTTGCAAAGGGCTTAGCGAATATAAATGCACTTTTAATCACATATAAGTAAAGAAAATTACTTAGTATGGAATGATTCACGCATATAAAATATAACATAAGATATTCGTCGCTCGCGAAATAATTTTCAATATGAAACACTAGCATCCTTTACAATTTATATTAATTTAAAAAATAATAATAATAACTTATTTTTAAACTTTGATAATTGTTTAAAACGATATTCTGCTTCGTAAGTTCTTACTCGGCGTTAAATCTAAAAAAAAAATTTTTTCACATAATATTACAATATTCTAACGAGGAGATATTATTAGAGAGTTGAATATGATATTATTGTGCTTTGTTTTTTAATTTTCAAACGGTACTTATCCAAAATAAAAAATTACGTTTTCTACGTAAATATTTTTATACAAAACTTACAAACAGCACTATACCAACCTACAAAAAATTTACTCAACCAAATCATGAACGTACGAAATACTCTCAAAACGTATATACTATGAAATGTTTTGAAATTAATTTTTGTAGACATAACACAACATAGTATATTAAAACATTAATTAACATTTTGATTTTAGTATGCCATTAAATTCAAACTGATTTATTTTATCAAAACACAAATAGGTATTAAAATGAGATTATATATTAAAATGTGTTTATCGCTGCAAAACTGAATATTTTATACTATCATTGTTAACGTGGACAAAATCGTTTTTAGATTTAAGAAATGAAAGTAGGTATTATTACGATTTTAAGATGTAAAAATGTATAAACAAAAAATGTCTAATGGATATCTCTAAACTCAATGTAGAGGAAGACAACTAATTTTATAATATGTGTAATTGTAACGGATAATTGATTTAATCAACTTTTTAGTACCTATATAGAGGTTTAATTTGAAATTCATAATTTTTTTAATATAATTTGATATTATCAATTCTAGACCCTTATAGTAAAAAGAAAAATAATAATAATTAAAAACGGTCTTGTTACGAAACTCGTCAGATACAGAGTTTTTGATGAGTAATTATGTCGTATCATCGGCACCTGTAACGGAGGCACTCGCAATTATAGTTCCGTTTGCCGCCGATGGTTTTCTTCCGATCGGTCGGAAAAACGCTCTCAAACGTCCGATTACGAGACGGCGGAATAGCAAACGTCGTTTCTGTCTCAGTCCTTACCTCATCTGAAGCCGGTCCGAAATGTGTGTTATCACCATACGCAAACAGACTCAGAGTTGCAAAATTTTTTCAGATAATGTCGTGGATGGGGAAGGGACATGACCGTTTTGATTATTTTAGCTTTATCAACGAAAATGATAGCGAGACAACGATATTTTAGGGAACAACATTAGTATAATGTAATGTGATGACGGCCACAGCTGACTTCGAGCAAAAATGTTTATCATGGCTTCTTCGGTGTACATCATATTATATATATGTACATGAAATGAATATGGGAAAACCAATTCTTATCAGTACAGTCATATGTGTATTTGTGTGTGTGTGTGTGTGTGTGTGTGTGTGTGTGTGTGTGTGCGCGTGCGAGCGTGAGTGCTTGTGTGTAATTGTCATTTGTGAATGTTTTCCTCATATACGCACCCTTACCACCTCCGCCGCCGCCACAGCCACCGCCGCCCAAGAATTCTTCTCGTGACTTACTCTGATTGGAATTCCGATGTCTCGAACGGAATTTCGGTTTCGGGTAGTAATCTTGGTCGGGATGGTCCATTGGCAGCATGTCCACGACCAGATGCTGAGGTGTTTTGCTTCGGCCGTTCGTCCGCAACGTGCCCGACGGCGTTTCCGTTGCTAAATTCGGCGCTGCCGAGTGACCCCGGATGTTCCGGCGGATCTCGTGGCTTTGCTTCGGATGAACTGCAAAAACAGACACCGGAAATAGTATTCATTTATTATGCACATTATAAAACACACGGGCAACGACCACGATGACCACGACCGCGACTACACGACGGCCAGACAAGACGAAACCAGACGATCACGATTCACGACTATATACCAGTACACCAGAACGAGACGACAACACCGCCGCGGACGAATGATATTACACCACATTAATATATATATATTTACGAGACAAAGTATTGACTAAATCTTAATAATATTTTAAAAGTCAAAATTGGCTGTTACAAAAATACGTCAGCCTATAGAAATCTCTAATCGAGAACTTTTGTTGCCGTTTAAAAAGAAAAATGTTTTTGTGCGTGTTAACATAGGTACCTAAGTTTAACAACAAATCACGCATTTTTATCGACTTGTGGAAGAACCCCGATTCAATATTGACGGCTATTCCAGCCAAAATATTTAACGTCACTCTTTTAACTATTTGAACACACCGTGCATATAGCATACTATATTACATATATTAATATAATAATACACTATGTGTATGGAATATATTCGATTTAATACCTGCATTGCTTTAGGGGTTTTTAATCTGTTTTTTTTTTGGTTTTCCGGCAAATTACATTATCATCTCAGACTGCTGTCACCTATCGCACCGGACTCTAAGCACTATACTGTACAGCTGTGTACATAATAAGCAATTCGTATTGCAGCTTTAGTGTATGTTATTTTTTCTTTTGCCGCCTTGTGCTAAACATATGTTTAGAAAATTGTTTTAGTGCATCAAATTGTGTCTCCCATCTCTACAACATGTAATTTCACGCTAATGCAATTCCGAGATTTTTTTTTCGTTCAATACACTTTGGCCAATTTAATTTGTATTTCATTCAACGGAATGGGCATCAATTCTATTCAATCTCAAAACGTTAAACTTTTTTAGGTTCATTACCAAGAGTACCGAATACTTAGAACTACTTTCGTTATAAATATGTTAAGTTATTTTGTTCACTGAACCGATAAGATCTGCAGTTGTAGCATTACTGTCCCCTTTAACGATATTTCTCCCGGGCTGAACACTGCTTTTCGCCGAAGTCATACGGAATGACGGTATCATTTACACTATGATGATTATGAAAAAAAACTCTCGGATCCCATAAATGAGGATCGGATAGGTGGGCATTTCAGAAAGCTTAACACTGTTAGATTTTTCAACAGCGTTAACAAGACGTGACTATTATTACAACGCGCTATAATAATATATAATGGTTCCATTTATAATCGTATTAATGGGCTATGTGTCAGTAAGTTTTTGTTAAAATATCTCTGGGCTTAATGTCAGACACATATTGTAATCCTTTTCCTACTTTGTCTCATCGCTGTTCTTGTGGTCTTAATTATCCTATCGACACGATGATATGGTACTATGGGTACCTACCATGTGTGCAACACATACCTATCGCACGATTCACACATCATATTCCATCGAGTGGGCCACGGAAATGCCACTGCCTATATAGTTAAAAAAAATTTAATTCCATATTATTGAAAAGTTCTTATATATATATTATATATGTAACGTTATAAACTAGGCGGGCACACCTTGTCCAATAAACAATTGAAGTTGAATCAATTACTATTATTGCCAGTTTCAAAAATAATAAATCAATAACAGTCTAAACTTGTACTCTACGTGTAAGTTATTAACACTAAAAAAAAGTAACAAAAATATACGTGATTAAATTCGTAATGTGTTAATCGAACGATATAATAATTGACAAAGCACACATTAATGTAACAACAAAATAATGTCACAAGAACTACCTATACATAATGCTATATATTCAGTCCGATCAATGTTAGGAAAAAATATTTTGTAAAAAAAATGTGTATAGAGTGGTGTCTTCAAAAAAAAATGAGTCGTATTGGAATTTTATATAATATATATATCTTTATCTTATATCATAAAATGATGACTTTGACGTTCTTCTGCAGTACATAATATTATTTTACTATATCTTACACTAAAATATAATATTCTAAATAAGTCATTAAACGAAATGCACGACTGTTAGGATTTACACCATCAGTAGGTATAAGTTGAATAAATATTTTACTTGACATATTCATTACGAATGTCAATATGTTTTTGTAAACAACCAAATACTTTTAAAGTAGTTTACTGTCATTGAGATTTTCACATTGAAGTTCGTTTTTCAAACAACTTGGGCGGGAAATAGGTAGGTAGACATAAATGTAGCCAACAAAATTTTCCAAAAGCAAGTGTAGATACAAACAAATATATATTAATGAGATTTTTGATTAGAAATACTTTTTACTATTATGTATATAATTATTACAAATTTCAGACAGGTTCACTTTTGCGGAAATTCGTGTGTAATAAATCTATTTTAATTTTAATTATTTATCCCATTCCCGCACTTTCTACATTTCGTGTTAATGTATTTTAATTTTAGGTACCTAACTTTCAAATTAAATTAAAACGGCTGAAATGCGTCCAGATTAAGGGATATGAATTACCGGTTAAATGTATTGCATTTTAATCTTATTTTTTATAAGGTGTCAGTATATTATTAACATACACTCAACAGCATGTATGTTGTGTTTTATATGCGTAGTATGTATACCATTTATTAAGAGTAAACACGAAACAAAATAAAAAACAAAATTATTAAAAGTACATTTTGTAAAATTGCGTTGGTTAACTGCAACATTATAGCGATAGGTAGCAATAGTAAAATAACTATTACGGTTTTGAATTATTCTTAATATTATTGTATTTACGTTTAAATTGTTCTGAAGTCGTTATTTTATCGTAATTTATCTTAGGTGCCCACCAATTATTTATGTCTGGTTTTAATTAGCATCACAGCCAAACAAATCATCTTTATAAAATATTTTTTTAAATAATATGAGTATCATTATTTTAGGTAAGAACATACAATTGCATTGTTTTACTACGATAAATTATACAACTGAAATAAGAATTGTTGTCGCCAGTAATTGATGTCTTAAATAAAAGGTTGGCAAAATAGTATTCATTTATATAAGCTATACAACTTGTTTTGGACTTTGTATTAAATAGCATAAATAAACCAAAAAGCGAACCACATTTACATATTTTTTTACTTGATATTGACTTTTCTGATAGCTTAATAAGTATATGTTTTGAATAAGGATGAGATACGTACCACGCAAAAAAAACTATATTAGAATTAATTAGGAACAAATAGTTTATGTTTTGAAAACCATTGATTTATCAAATATTAGTTTTCTTCAAAATATATGATATTTGGAATAATCAATGTCAAACAGTAGCAGCAAAACACGTAAAACTTAAAACTTTTAATGACTTTAATGTCAATTCGGTTTACAAACTAATCAGCATTAGTTCCTCACGAAAAGATAATAAATAAAATATAACCTCATAAATGTAGTAGCTAGACTAAATTAAATAGCGTAATATTAGAATATATTAATTAAAAAAATGTTATATTATTATATTAAAGAAGACTAAGAAATGTACACTCTGTACAGGCTTTCTTAATTTGACGAAAAACATTGCCAACAAGGAACAACTGCAACTTGCCAAAGCCTTATTAATTATATTATATTAATTACATCAGACGTGCAAGCGCATTATATGCGTATGAACCTTCTACTGAAGCATATTTGAAATGTCTCGGAAATGTAATTATTATAAATTATTGGAGGAATAAGGAAGCTATAATTTATTTACAAGGTTTTTCATTCTTTCTGCAAACAGTTTTATGTTACTGTATGCCAACACATAAATTGTACATGTATACATACGTATTTATATATAAAATACATAATTGAGTTAGAAACGTCCAAACAGTAAAATGTCATAGAGTGACCTACTCAGATTAATGTCACGTTTGCGTTTTCTATTTCATAAAAATTTAATTGATATTATTCTAGGTGAAAAATGATACGGAAAAACATGTGATAAAATAATAGTGGTTAAAAGAAAAACGTCAAAATGACGATACCAATTATCAAAAAATACTCTAATATTACTATTGAAAGTATTCAATGATTGTGTAAATTCTTAGTTGTTATTATAGATTGTGCTTTGGGCTTTGATTGACCCAATACACTGTAATTAATTTATATTAATTTTGTAATGAGTAAGTAAAAAAAAAAAAATTGATGAAGCTGTAACTAGGAAATGTGAACAGTAAATAACTCTACTTTATACATAGTATAATGCTGTGGTAAAATATATTATACTGATTATTATTATAAATAACTAATTAATTAAATTATACGACTCATATTATTAGTTTTAAATTATTTTCAACGTGTTTGTTGATTTTTTTTATTGTTGGCGAGTTTTTTTTGTAATTTCGGGGTAAACTTTTATGTTTTAAATATTTTAATTATGATAATAACTGTTAAATACAATGTGTATAGTGCATACTATTAAATTATTTTTTAACGTGCATCAATAAATAATATAATATACTACATTAATTTGTTTTTCCGTACCTCTATTCACTATCTGATACCAATATTTGGTAATTATAATATTTGCCATTTGAATAAGGTTTATCTTACCATATTATGCAATTACAAAAAATACTAAAATTAACTTTACAATCGACGGAAATTGTAAATTATGAGTATGACGTTGTTATTTTGATAATGTTAATACTTGTCGAGAAATAACAGAAACTTACTTCTTCTAGATTCTTCCCTGTCCAGTGCATATTTGTTAAATAAAATTGATGGCACTTGCTGCAGTTCTGGTCCATCTAGTTGATCACCGTCAGAATAACTTGGATCTAACAAAATGAAAAAATAAATTTAAAATACCATTTGATGATTAAAATAAACCCTATTAATTTTCATTGTCCTCTATAAAATAGTCACATTGGTACAGTTGGGTACTTAACTTAATGTCATCGCAATACATTATTAATCAAACACACAATTATATTGATGGTTTTTCCCAGTAAAATGAATGATATATATATATATATATATATATTTATATATAAATTATTTTTAAATGTAGCTGAAGTATTATGGTATATAATTTCCCTAGAAGGAGAAGGTCTTATGCTCTAGAAAATTCTTATAAAAATAATCCTTATCCAGACTAAACATTTCTCTAGGGAATAATATATAATAAAAGTAAAAACAAAACGACTAGTATTGATTCTTTAGAAAACGGTAACAAGATGTATTGAATGATCTTTGATAAGTGAATATTATTTGAAACAAATTATAGTCAAGTTTTTGCTTAATACTCATTATGAAAGTTTTGTACAAAAAGTTGGCAGTTTTTGTGGATACGAGTATATTATATTATGTTATTGATTTTACTATGGACTTTAAAAAACGTTATATTATACAGAGCGATTTACCAAGCATGCTCACTCCCTTTTTTCTTCAATAATGCAGTTATTCAAAATCTGATTTTTTAATCTTTAATTATGGTCTTTCAGCACAAAATGTGGGGGTGAGAATGCTTGGTGAATTACCCTGTATATACCTATATACTAATATTATTACTAAATAGAAGATATTCCTCTTAATGTACATCATAATCGTTGAGCAATAATTCGTGTCTTAACATATAACTTGTAAAATATTAAGTAATGAATAACTATTATAAATACATAATACCTAATATTATATTTTGGTCTTTGCAGGATCCAACTCATAATATGTATGCATTACGCATGTAACGAAATTAAAATATTCAACCATGTTATTTTAAGTAAAACATAAGTCCTAATTTTAAATTTATAATGTGTTTTAATGGTTTTATATGGTTTAAAATGCATGATACGTAAAAGGAACGTTTATTATACTTAATGATATCTACGTGTTACTAGTTTTTACTCCACATAGGTTTACTTTCTAGTTCATATTTTGGGAATATTTATACCAATGAAGGTGTTGTGAAATGAAAAACTGTATCTATTAAGTTTCTATAACTATGTTGGTACTTTGGACTTTGGAGTAAGGCCGTAGTTTTAATGTTAGTTCTTAAAGATTATTTACGATCCTACATTAAAACCAAATTTATTACAGTGCTAATGATTTGTTTAATAACCATGAACGTAGTAAACTTTGAAAAATATATAAAAACATCAAAACAATGTTTGAATCGATCTAACTTTTCTACTTCTTAGTCTTCGGGTTTCATCGGCTTATATTTATGTATTTAAGCTCCAACAATCAGTTTATGAATATAAATTAACAATAATATATACTTGCTTATAAAGTTACCTACATAATAAGTTTTAGTTTTTAACATATATTTTCTATTTCAGATAATGTTTATTTATGTGTATTTAAATATTATTTTCATTTGGACAGTTCAGTAAATTTTTTGGAACAGTTAAATTTTAAGATTTTTAAAGATATCAAATACACCAGTAGTTTAAAAGCACCAGCAGTGAAAGGATAACATTTTTAATATTTTATCAATCACGGGAGTGAGGAACATGAATCTTTTATGTATGAATACAAAAAAATGTTTGTTTTTAAAAGGTATCTATCATTTGTTCACTGAATTAAAGTTATGATAAAATGTATAGGACTAAGTGTGAATTCAACCCGTTACTTAAAGTTACTTAACTAAAACATTTCTTGGGACAAAGTAGTTAATAATATAATAATGTACTGATCCACAGCATAAAACCAATTTCCGCGTTCTCTAAATGTATATTGATTTGGTTTTACTCTGACTCACAAAATATTAATATAACATTATGTACACTACAATGGGTACCTTGTACTCGATATCGTCCATGGTAATAATGGTTAGCATTATTTCGGTGACCACTGTTTTGACTGGTCGATCTAGGCTTAATAGCCGGCGAGTGTCTTCGTAACGGTACGGTGTCGGAGTACCTGGATTGCTGTGAATATCGATTAGGAGATTTAACAGGCATCCCGCCCCCGAACATGGCATATTCTCTTTCCATTTTATCGTAATACCTGGTGAAAAATTTATAAATATCATGAAAACGATACAAAAATCGAGCTTCTACTCTACTAGGTACTCTATAGATATTTCACCTGCATTCAGTGTCCGAATAAGAAGATCTAGTGTAACAATCCGACATTCCAAGAGCGCTATCTGCGGATCTCTGTGATATTCGACCCGTTCTCCTTAGTGACGTGGTTCTGGAACTAGAAAAAATAGATCTTTGTAAAAAAAAAAAAATGTTTAAAAAAAATACGTTTGTCAGATTACGCTACAGTAGTGGTTGCGACATTTAAAGCCTCGTTCTATAGCCGACTTTCGAAAATAATAATCAAGTATTTTTTTCAGCTTGATTTCGCTAAAAAGATTTGTCAAGTAATCATTATGTTGAGTTATTTAATACGGATTAAATACAGGTACTTTGTGTAGGCATGATAAGTGATGGCATAATATATCTATAAAATAATGTTATGTAATGCTAATTTGAACAACTATATTGTATACGGAGATCCGAAATTAAATTAATCCTACCTTATCCAATTAAATAATTCAAATATTTCAAAAATCATAAGCTACCATCATATATAAATGATAGTAATAATATTCAATATAATCCAACTGAAGAAAATACAATATCTAAAAATTAAAAATCTGTTCTATCTAATAAAAAAAATATATTGAATGTCTTTGCATGAATGTGAATAAAATATTATATGATATCATATTACAGTCAAAACTCTTTATAACGAATCTGAAGGGACCAAGAGATTTCTTTCGTTATAGAGAGTTTTCGTAATAGAGAGGGTTTAAAAAAAAACAAAATTTTAATTATTTATGTATAAAGGTATGTACCTATGTAATATTATATATCAAACACATCATTATTTTTACATTATTTTATATATATTTACGTATTATATTAAATTATTATTATTATTATACATACTTATTAAATATAATTTAATTTTTATACTATACATATTTATACCTTATTTAAAATAGTCTGTCATCTTAGTTTGGACTTTTTTATTCGGCATTATTGCCGATTATTTTTATAGTTTATATATGTAATAGATACGATAACACGTAAATTGTATTATGAAACATAAAATATTGTTTCGTTATTGAGAGTGACTAATACGTTATAGAGAATGAATTGTCTAATGGGTTATATAGCAAACCAACCATTATTATGTAATGTTTACGTTATATAGAGTTTTTCGTTGTAAAGAGTTTCGTTATAAAGAGTTTTGACTGTATATCAAAATGTTTAAACAAATTAAGACAGTGATTAAAATTAAAATAATGAAACAATTGAATTATATCGAAATAAAAATATGATCGTGATCAATGTTGACGTAGCTTAATACAATTATCCTCGATCGCACTTCAACGACGAACTGCACAAAAATACAACGCAATCAATAAACAATAATATATTATACTTATAAACGCATTGCATTAATTTCTGGACATACAAATACTGGACGTAGCCAAAACCCATAAAACTTGACGCGCAATACCTACTGCTGCGGGTCATTAGGGAATTATAACAAGTGAACGTGCTTTGACTGGGTTAAAATATGTAAATCCAAAACCGGGTAAATATATGTATAAAATCTTACCCGCCGTGTGATCTTGTAGTGGACCTTTGACTGCGGGACCTCCTTAGGGACTGTACTCGTCTCTGCCGCCTGGTGCACGTGTAGCAACACACTTTCCAGTAGAGGAACCTGAAGGAATGCGCCATTATGTCGCCGATATTGGACAGGCACAGGAGCATCAGCGGTATACCGACGATCGCGTAAAATATGGTGGCTATTTTTCCGTTTAGGGTTTTCGGAGCAATATGACCGTAACCTGAAACAAGACATTTTTAATCACCTGCAATAGCTGTCCATATATATAATGTTGTAAATATATCATGTGGACGGTATGCGAATATAAGCGCACACGATGACATGGCGTAGTATGGACGATTATTACCCATTTTCCTAATATCAAGAAATAATTACATTTTAAATTTATACAAAACCATTTCATTTTAAGAATAGATATATTTTAACAATATATGTATGCTTAAACTTATTGTGAACGAAATACTGCTAAAATCAATAAAATAACTAATAAGCATTATTTAAAAAAAAAATGAACTTTGCCCGTCATGATCCGGTAACCATCGATACATGCACGCCGCATGAGGATTTCGTAGATCCCTTATCAAACACAAACAAGTAATTTTAATTATTTGCCTAGTGATATTGTGGCCTGGGGGTGGGGGTGCAAGTGTTATAGTTATTTATTATTATCGAACACTGTAAGACACCAAAGCTCTTTACTAAATACCTGGTGAATATTTATCAAACACGTTTATCTAAAGTGCCTTATTATACCTATGCAAAACTAAAGTGGTTTCCTAAAACCGTCGGGCCAAGTGCGGTTTTACTGATTAAAGTTTAACAATAGTTAAAATGGCTTTCTTATTTAAACAACAAAGCTTGCTTAATTAAACAAAGTTCTTTTTTATACCACACGCCATTCTATAAACAGGTTGACTGTAGGAAGTCGAAAATATAATGTAGTGTAAGCAAACCCAGTAAATCAGACACAATAAGTTACAACTTAAAGTTTGAAGTAATTTCAATTAATCAACAAAAACTGTTCGGTAAGAAAATAAATCTGTAATCAATCATGTTTTGTTATTATTGTGTGATAATTAAACCAAAGTGATAATCGGAAAATAAATATATTTTTCTTGTACGTAAAGTTACCCAGTCTATATCCAATTGATCCCATTTTAGTGTCATTTGCTTGCAGCTGATTTGCAACAATTTTCTACATGTTAAAATAATTTTGAAATTTGCAACACATTTTTTCATACATAACTCAAATGTTCCAATTTCAAGTGACAACTCTACTTTGTCCGTTTAGTTTCAAATCGGTATCATCTCTGTTCTGTTACATAGTTTTTAAAAAGGGAGTTTACCAATTGCGCTTAAAATGACCTTTTAATATACCATTTGCGCTCTGCCTTTTTTGGGTCGATATACCAATTGCGCTCAGTTTTCTTCAGGGTTTATAATAGTATTCTACATTACACCTAGTATATAAAAATACTTTTATAAAAATATATATTTTAAATAGATATTTTCAGTCAATACAAAAAATTATATTTTAGTTTATATTATATTATATATCGTGATTTGTGTTATCCCATATACAGTATATTATATCTGTATGGTACTTATTAGACAGTGTATGGAACGTACGAATTAGGTAGATAAATTGGTGGATAACGATAATTAATGATAATGAAAACTTGTTATACGAGTAGTCTATCACTCAAATTCATACTTTATAATATGTTCGTTAGTAATAATAAATAAAATATTTAATATTTCGCCCTACGTCGAGTCGGGATAGGTACTATTATCATTTATCAGCTTGTAGCTTGTCGTATTTTCCCGTAATTTCATTTTGCTTTAAATTAAGTATATTTGAATGTATATTAGTTAGCTATATTTAATTGTGTATATTATACATATGTAACTTTTTCCGCCGTGTAGTAACTTACATATTATACCCATGTAAAAATAAGGAACCTAAAATATAAGTAGCGCAATTGGTGTACTGATCTAAAATACAAATATTGTTTTAAGCGCAACTGGTCCATGCTCTTTAAAAACTATAAAACATAGTCTACAGTAAATTGAGTTTGATAAAGTACACAATTTTCGGTGATACTCAATAAATTGTTTCAATTGTTATACTTTTATGGAATTTTAAAAACTGCATCAAATATACGACACTAGTATACTTGACACTAAAAAATTTTAACTTATGACACTTAAATTTGGTTACCTAACCGTAAAGTTCTAGCAAAATTATAATTTCAAACAATATAGAAACATCTTTACACTTTCGTTTGTAATTCGTGACCATTACTAGAAGATACTATTCAAAAAAGTCCATGAAAAAAAACTTCGCTGAGAATCAGATAAATTAATTTATAAAACGATACGGGAATACTATAGAAAGAAATACGATACACAATTTTGTTTAATTGAGTACACTTCTACAAAGATTTATTTTTGAAACTGTGTCAAACTATTTGCCTAAAAGTATATTAAGGAATTAACGAAACGATTTTTAACAATTTATATCGTACAAAATGGGCTTGACAAAAATCTACAGAAGAATTACATAAAATTAAAAGAGACAAGAATCTTTATAACTTTCGTGTCAACCGATGTCACTTTATATCATTATTTATAATACTGGTATAATATTATACAAAATGTATATAATATGATTATTGATCATTGATTATATAATTTAACACTAAATACTTCTCATAACTTGATTCACTAACATTTTTTGTTGATTGGTTGTAATTAATCACTCAATAATTATGATAATAAAGTTAACTGAAATTTAAAATATTGGATGTCTTTAAAGATGTAGAAAATAATAAATGTTTAATAATAGTAATTTGTGTTTTATTAAAAATAAGTACCTATAAAAATAAAATTACACAAATAAAATTAATGAATAATTTTATGTTTAAATAAATTACATTTTAAAACTCAATATAATCGTGTAAGACCTTAAACAATTAGTTTAATGACAGAGATTGTTATTACGGTACTTTGTATGCGTACAACAATATTATTTGTCTAGTTTATTAACAAATTACAGTGTTAATTACTATTCCGATTATTAAATAATAAATTATAATTAAAACTGAACTTTTAAATCTTTTGTTGTGGTTTTTTTACTAAGATTAAAACTAAGAGGAGAATATATTTTCAATCAAGCCTTGTAACTTACTAGCTATATATAAAAAGGTCATTCAATAAATTGTATTATTTTATTATGTACAATGTACAGGGTAGCTAAACAGTAATTTATATGGAATATTTTTAATTATTTATCGTAAATCGCTTATGTAACACAAAAATTTTGTGTACAAACCTTGAGTTGTGTACATTTCATGTCACCTATACGTGAAATGATTGATAACACAAATCCATAATTTTCCAATATTATTTAGAATTTTCACTGTTTTATGAGAAATTTCAAGCACATATTATGATTAGTAAAATATACGATGATCATATAACAGTTATTAGAAATTAAAAACAAAAACTATGTTATTTTGTTTGGCAAAAAAAATATACGTTTCGTGTCGTCGCTTTAATCGCTCCCAGAAATCGTCAGATCCAGGCGGACAAATCGATTTTCGCTCACTTTCCGAAGTGAAAACGACGACTCATGCAATTATAATCTTAAATTTTATATTAATTAGCCATGGCCTGAACATATACAGATGGAGGAAAAAAATTATCGAATAAAAAAATACATCCTCACGTGTCACAGCGCGACCGCGATGTATATATTGAGAGATTTGTGACGCTCTTCATGCACGTTGACTGCGTCGTCCGCCCAAAGATCCAACTAAATAGAGACGGGCAAATGCTGCTCGAAGAATGACCCTTTTTTGGCTTCAAAATTAATAATTAACAATTGAACACACACACAGGCACACACATATATCCTGTCAACCTAAATATGCACGCACACTTCACGCTTATCCGGTGGACGATGATTCGTAAGATTTTTAACTTAGGTACCTATATAATATAATATTGTGTATAACCTACTTGTCGTTATGTGTATCGATCGTCGAGCGCATTGAACCACGAGAAGTCTTTTTTTCATCGTTGTTATAATTTCACCACCTTGACGGCAATAATCATATAATATTACAGATTTTACAGATTTTACTTACAACATCACTCTGTAAACCACAGTATACAATTTACTGGGTGCTCGGTAAGCATGCATACTCTCTTTTTATCATTTATTGAAATGCTTTTTTGAATTGTCAAATAGATAATACATGGCTTAGTACAATGAAGAAGCATAATATTTGCAAATGTTTAGATTTTTTCACACGATTTGAGGAGCGTCCTGTGGAGATAAGATCTTCTCTTCTTGACTTCTTTTTACAGTGAATTTTTAGGTAGATTATTTTTTTGAACATTTTGATACCCCTATAAATCGAAATTCAGACGAGTAGTTTCATAGCTCTAAAGCTTTATGTACTCGTAAATCAAGATTATGGGCTTACAAAATTTGGGAACTATGATAACTTACTATATTAGAATTTTAAAATTGTTGAAAATTATCCTTGAATAAAAAAAATTATATACTATGCTATAATAATACTAAGTCTTACATATTATTATATTTTTATGAAAGACTATAATTTAAGGAATACTATCGTTTGTAGATAAAGTCGGATGACTTTAAAGTCTACTAACGACCGAGATTCGATTTAGATGCATTGGCATTGGCATGGATTGTTGAGTGGTTCTCATTTGAATCGCCTCGGGTCACATCCCATAAAAAAACGTAAATGGTACAAAAAATTCATTCATTTGAAAATAACATGGTTTTTAAATAAACATTTAAAGTCCAAAAATCAGAATTTGTTAAAATGCATTATGTCAGGATAAAAAGTTAAAGCACATATTATGGTCGATGAATCGACATTTGCCACATGAGATGTTATGTTTGTGTTTATATTATTCAGTCCAAAAGTATATTATATTATATTATGGCAACACTAGTAAGTTGATGCTGGGGACGACGAAAATGTAGGAAGTTGTGAAGGTACAATGTACATAAAATGACGACCTCGTTTCGATCTGGTTTCGTTGTGCATGATATAGGCTTATTGCTATAGTAGGTATATTATAACGATTATTGTTATTATTTAATTTTTCACAATCGGCAGACGGATACGTGGGCGCGCCACCGTAAGTTTCCGTATAAATTATATTATTGCAAAGATG